TAAGGATAGATAGATTTTATTATTTACTCTTATTATAGTTAACTTAAATTATACTTTCTTACTAATATCTTTTTACTTTATAAGATAGTTATATATTAGTCTATTAAATAGATTAGTATTGTTAAACCCTCGGTTACATCTATAACTCTTTTCTATTAAGAATCGCCAGGCAACTCTCACGGCGCTAACCCCAATCCTACTCGCCTTAACCCAGATCGAGTTAGAGAAGTATTGGCACTCCAGACCCCGTGTAACATATGATTATATAGCTTATGTATAGCTTAGCGTCTTATAATGTGAAGTAGAGTTAGCTCTCAGTAATGGTAGACTAATAATCTATTAGTATAATTAGAAGTAATAACAATAGTGCAATAGATAGATCTTGTCATTATTCTTATTATAGTCAATTTAACATATACTTTGTTATTTATCTTTATTTAGAATTGAAGTCTAGAGCACTTTATGTCTAAGTAGTTACCAGTGCGTTATAGTGACCCATTCAAAGACTCTTATTGTTTAGAGAAGGACATCACTTTGTAGGCTCACTGGAACTTCGTGGGCTAGTTTTCAGCATCTTGCCCATTAATCCCAGCAACGTTAACTGGGAATTATCCCTCGGCGGAATGGTGAACGTCTGCGTCCCATCCCGTGCTATTTCATCAAAGCCAACCACCGAGTTTGAAGACTCTGCCCCCACATTCAGTCCGAATAATGTCGCTTTCCCGTTGAGTTTCTGAGCTTTGGTTAGGCCTTGGTCAATGGTGTTATAGAGTGCTTGATCGGTCTGGATTTTGATGCTGACCATGTAACCAAGGAGTGCGTAGGAGACGAGAACCAATGGTTCAAAGAGGTCGGGCGGAGCAGTGGGGGAGAGGTTGTAGCGAGAAGCGACGTCTGGAATATTCCTGTTTATCTTGTTGTTAGCGCTAGATAGATGGAAGCCCATTGAAATGAGATTTACCATGATTGATCTGGTGAAATAGCAAAGACTTTTGCGTCAGAGGCTTGAATCGTGATGGTGGCAAAGGATTTGGTGCTCCGACCTACACCTGCCTGTAGGTTGGGCACGCTTTTGACCACAAGGGCGCTATCGTTGGAAGTGAGGTTTGATGTAGCCTCTTCCGCCGGCCCATTCTGCACAGGCTTTGCCGATGACTTGTTGATCGAAAAGCTTGAAATCGCAGGAGGAGACTTTTCGTCCACTGGCTTTTCGTCATAGCTAGCGGTGAATAACGGCAGTATAGGAGCGACGGTGTCTTTGTCAAAGGTGATTTTGTTTGAAAATCCAACGTCCATGAATCCACTTCTGAGGCCGTCTGCGATATTGTTGGGAGTCCCTCCAGCCCTGAACTTCAAGATGAAAGGCTCATTGTGTTTGTTGAATGCATTTTGGACCCAATTCGTGACAATATTCATGAAAGTTGAGTCAATCGTATAGCGTGGTTCATATTTGATGTCTGCTGGATTGATTGGTAGTTGGCTGGCGTGTCCTACTACTTGTGCTTGGGTAACTTGTGCTATGGAAGTAGGCATGTTATATCTTGATAGTAAGTCAGCATCATAGCTCCTCACATTTCAATATTGAGACTGACGTCGGGCATGCAACTTCACTGAATGCCTTGCTGACTTTAGCTTTGTCATTCCACAATTGATCGGTTTGAGCACCATAGTAATTCTGTGATGCTTGATATGCCAATTGGGAGACCGCATCTTTGCTTGACTGGGCCTGAGCATACGGGGGGTAGCATTCTTTCACCCATTCATTAAAAGAAAATTTGTCGAATTCTGGATCTTCCTTATAGAGGGCATAGGCTTGTCGACGACAAGCGAGAAATGCGTCTGTTTGGGTGGCGAGAGATGCATTCGCATCATTCAAAGCCTTGAGACTTGCTGCATCTTGTCGTCCTGGAGGCTAATCACTCTCAGATTAGTAAAAGTCTGCGCATCAAATCTCAGTCGTCTAGACGAACCACTTGAGCTGCTTGCAAATAGCGCAGCAAGCGCTGCGAGTAGCTCGGGCCAGGCATGAACACTGGATTCTTGGCCGGCAACAACAAGTCGCCAATGCGGAACAAATCATGGTTGACAATCTGCGGATCAATACTTTGACCAATGGAGATTCCAATACTAGTTAGTGGTGCAGCATACACTCTGAGGTCGTCTTCTGTGCCATTATCTTCGAAGATCTTTTTCAGCTCACGAAGATAACTGTGCCAGAGGTCCAAGTCTGCGGGAGATGTCATGTTGACACAATAAGGAGAAGAGAAAAGCGAGAACAGGAGTATAGAGTGTCAGGCTACCAGACAGGGCGATGTTGTCAGTCCAAAGATCATGCAGATGAACCTTTTATACCGAGAATGATTCAGAGGAGGAAAAGCGACAAACACGCTTATGTTTTTGGGATGCATGTATCTCGGTTAAGAGGGTCATGTGCAGGACAAGCGAACGATTGCATGATCCAGAACAAGCTGACCCTACTCGCCCGAACCGGATGCGAACTGGCAACCCCTCCGGGGTTGGCCCGTGCCAACTTAACGCAAAACCAGCATCTAATCCTACCAAAGATCGCTACCTATCGATTGTTCTTTTTTTTTTCAGCTAGTCGTATAGATTCAGCGTGGCGTACGACTAAAAACGCCTCCTCGCTTCAATTCTGGTGAGGTGGCGGGCCGATCCGGCTTGTGACTGGCCCGTGAGGGTTGGGCTGCATGGCAACCTCATGTAGGAGACTCTGAGAAGGGCAGAGAGCGGCAGACTTACGCCCGTGTCTTCAAAGTTCCTCCATATTCTCGGTTAATGGATGCCGACGGTCCACCAGAACCTGCGCAAAGCTGATCAAAACTAGACCCATCATCACAAAAAAAGCAGACGTAGTCGAGACGGTAAGCACGTAGTCGTAAGGTGAGAATGCCTTTGCTCCAGACTCTCTACCGAATTAAAGCTAACTGTTATTACTCAAGCTAAACGAGATTGTGACGAGTCTTCGTATCCAGCAGACAGTTGGCCGAAAGGCGTCCACTCGGTGCTCCCGGTTCTATAGAATGGAAAGCCGGTCCCGGGCGGGCTTGGAATGACAGGATCTAGCTCACTACCAGCTTGGGACCACATTTACGGATGCTGATTCTGCTCTAAAAAAAAAGCTCCGGTTCGCCGCAAACACTTCTCCCAAAGGGCCGGAAGGGTTTGAAAGGAAAAGACACGTTAATCGACGTTATTCTGCGAGAGCTTACCCTTGTGATCAATGTAAGGCCATTGCGGCTTATCAGTCACGACGTGATTGAGAAGAGAAAGTTCAGAGAGATGGGATGGAATTCAATTGAAGTCATATAATGTTCCAACTAGACTACTCCGCAGTGAGGCATCCTATCATGTCGTGGGCATCAAAGCACACCAAATGCCCTTCCACCAAACAAAACTTAATTATTAGGTGGGATTGGAAGCGAAGTACCAACGACGGCCAACAACGTTGGATAACTATTGTCAGAAGGAGGAATGTTGACGGTGGTGCCCGAGCTAGCATTCTTGACATCGTCGAAATTGACAGTGGAAGTATTGCTCTTCTCGGCCGAGCCACCAAGGCCAATATTGAAGCCAAAAATAGATGCAGATCCACCAGAGGAAGATGCCTTGGAGATGTAGTCGTGAATCTGGCTGGAGGCGGTGGAGCTGAGCTTAACGGAGAGGCCAACACCATATGCGAGGATGGCGGTGGTGACATAGGCGGATGGATCGCGAAGGGATTGATCAGCGTTGTCAACGAGTGGCATCTTGAAAAGACCAGCTGGATTCCTGTGAATTGTGAGAAATAGTGCACAGTTGGAAGTCAAGACACCAGGACACTTACCAATTGCCTGGCTGAACCTTGTAAGAGCCAAATCCCGTGGCAGTCAAGGTGATCTCAAGATCAGAGCCAGCTTCCTCGGCAGTCATGTGCTTGGTGACCTGTTGATTGTTCTCATAGTAGGTGGCCGTGAAGAAGATGGCATATGATCCTTTGACCTCAACAGAGTCCTGAGAAAAGCCAAGACTGCCCCAATCAGTGCTTGAAGCTTGGCTAGCGTTGAAACTGAACTTGATAGGGGACTTCAAGTTCTGAGTATAGGTAGCGATCCAGTTATCGACATTCGCAGAGTATGTAGCGTCAATGCTGTAAAGTGGATTGACAAATGTGGCCAACGGGGTACCTGTGGTCTTGGCACCGACTTGATTCGCCGGGCAAGCAGAAACGTTCATGGTAAACCTATATAAGATAAGAATGACTGTTGCCTTCACAACTTAGAGAGCCACTTACCCAGGAACAATATTGGTTCCCAAAGCGCTTTGCAAATTGGTTTGGATGCCACCAAGAACTGCAGCGTTAGGACCCTTGATGGAAGCGCTTGCGGCACTCATTTCAGCTGCAGCAGCTCTCTGCGCTGATTCGGCAGATGCATATCCTGGAGCATTTCTAGATGCCCAAACAGGAAAGGAGTCAGTGGTGATTCCATCATTGGTGTCTGATTTCCAGTCAGCCAGAGCCTGCTTCTTGGCGTCTGCCAGATCCTGATTGGCTTGGGTGTAGGCGTCTTGAGCATTCTTGTAGCGGACAGCGGCACCCTGATTGCCATCTGGGTCCTACTTCCATTAGTATGACGCCTTGATATGATTCACTGTGGAAGTTTACCAGGAACACTTGACCAGAATATCTGCAGGACGGTCAGTCACAAGTTTCATCATATCTCGGTTCCGAGTGGCAACTAACTGCAGAGCTCGCTTGGAGTAGCTATCGCGAGTTGGCAAGAACACGGGGCTCTTCAAGGACAGAAGACTGTCGGCAACATTGTAGATGCCGTAGTTGGTGACGTTCTGGTCGACACGCGCGCCAGCAGCAATGCCAGCAGCAGAGATGGGAGCGATGTAGAAATGCTCATCAGGTCCGAGGCCACCTTGCAAGAACTGGCTCTTGAGCTTGGTACCATAGGCGAGCCAGAGGTTGGCATCAGCTTGGCTAACTTGACCAGAAGTCATGTTGAGTAAGGCAAGGGACTGTGTGAAGGGATGAATTGATAAGAGATGCAAAGCTTCAAGTGTTTGGAGGCTTGTGCTTGTTGATGAAGGCATTTGTGAAGGGGCCTTGACTGACCTTTTATAGACAGTCGTGGAGCCTAGCATTGACGAGAATGAAGCGAACTTGACAGCCTGGACTGGTCAAACTTGGTGAAGCCATGGAGATGAGCATCCATCCCATCACATCACATCACATTTGCAGTTGTACTAGGCTGCTCCGGGCTGTCTTTGCAGTATGCTTTGGCGGAAGAGACGAATAGCAAGTCTCATCAAGACTCGAACACACGCCACAGACCTAGGCTCCAAGTCTCGATCAACATTCACGTAGGAGGAAACGACGATTCAGACATAGTAAGTGGCGCATGGAGATGCTCCAGCTCAGCCCAGCTCGACATGCACCATTTCTGCATGTGTGACGCTCATCAGCTTGGAAAGTGCTCACGATATGCACAAGAGGAGTAGGGTCATGGCGGTCATGGCTGTGAATAGTCGACTGATGCGGGCCGACGTTCTGGGCGAGGCGCTGCCCCGCTAGTAGCGGCCCGTGGCGGGTTGTGGCTGCCTGAACCGCCGCTGCAGGGGCGCTGGACAGGACTAGCGCTTTCCCCGCCTTGGTCTGCATTTGCCCTGCGATTGCATGCTTCACCTGTGTAGGCCCGCCTGGTCATGCGCAACCGCGTCGCCTTGGCTATGCTGCACTTGGCCTACGGGCTTGCCTGCAACGGGCTGCACACGCATACGACTGCACGCCGTGGTGACGCCAGCTCCTTCACCAACGACATCGTGCACCACCTGCGCACCACGACTGGCACCACGCAAAGCGCGAGGTGCAGCTTCGCAATCGCTTCCGCAACAAGAAGCGCTACTACTGCATTGTGCACAACACCGTCTTCAGCTTCGACATGCCCGTCGCCCTAACCTTCTGCGTCTAGCACCCTCAACGCCCTCAACAACAACAACAACACTGACTGCCCTTGTCCTCTACGCGGGGCAGAGCTCCTGCAAGATGACGCTTCTAGTATTGACGTAGGCTGCTGCTGCTGCTAGACGAGGAAACAGCACTTCTTCTTGTAGCAAAAGCTTCGCCTCCTGTTCACTCGTGACATCCAGAGGTATTCAATACTATGTACATTTCCACCCTCTACCACGCCGTGTCTAGTGTCATCTCACCTAGCTCTGCAATTTGATGTCATGCCAGTCTTGTAGCTGTGTCATAGTCAATCGTTGTGAAGATCAAAGAACATGGCTCACGCTGTAGTAGGTAGTCGACTGAGCTTGGAGCTGAGGCCGGGGACAACCCGCCGGGCCCTACTACGCTTAGTACGTCTTCCGTGTTGGAAAAAATCAGCAAAGGCAACCTTGCACCATTTTTGCTTAGATGAATCTTCACTAGCTGCCTTCCTATCCTCTTAACCAGGAATGTCGAGCTTTTTGGACAACACTTGCATACGATTGATACGTGTTGCCTATGTCCATTGTGTCAGCCCAAAAGATGGAGTAATCCTTGTTCTCTTGTCTTATCCGGTACACAAACTCGCGCGCTGGCTGTAATCTCTCCGCTCCTCTACGCCTTACCATTGTTCATATTGTGGTTTGTTCGCCTCCCAAGAGCTTTGTTCCGAATTGTGCGAGCTGTCACTCTCAACATGTGAAATGATTGATAAGTAGATGATGCGCTGCCTATTGCCCCAACGCAAAAGGCGTCTAGGAGTAAAGCACGCACTACTAGCACATCATCATATCTTCGCTTACTGAGACTGCGACTTGTGATTCCTGATAATAGTTACTATAGCACCGTTAACGACAAAAAAATACTACGGTCCTCTAGTAGCCTATCACGGTATTGGATCGTCATAGGCTCGGACCCTCGAGCCGGCTGTGTAGACCCAATGTGCACACAGCTAAGTAGTAGCTCTAATAAGAAATAATCTAGATACTCGCGCACTCCTTTGCCTCTCTATCGCCTATTAAAGAGCGCACCTCTCTCTCCATTCCACTCGTACCAGTAATTCTTTGTTAGATTCATACATACATATAATATTAATATCAATGATAAGAAATAGCATATCTTGGAGCAGGATGCATTAAGCGGCATCGCTAGCTTTTTAATCGGGTCAGCCAGCTAATCAAGAAGCTCAATATCTTTTAAATCTTTGCTCTTACAGTGTGCAAAGTACTAAAGAATCGCTTCACGCGCCTTCGCGGGCGTTGTGTGCTGTTGAAACGGGGGCGGGGTCGGTTTTGGCGCTACGTAGCGGGAAGCCTTCCCCGCTCTGATCTTCGTCCTGCAGACGCAGACAGACGCCACAACCACATTCACCCCAGCCACCCGCCATAACAACTTCCACCTATGTCAGGGAGCCCCATGGCACACTATAGACAGTGGCAGACGCCGCCCTGTACCTCATGCGCGTACCTGCAGCCGTCAACTGGACCCATCCGCCCTCACATCGTCCTCCAGGCCCAGCAAAGCGCGATACTAATTCTAACACATCCCCTACTACTAGAGCCCGGCGCCGTCTCATGTCAGGCTGAGCTGCTCGCATGCCTGCGTGACTTGGCTCGCCTATAGGTGGTTGGAAGCGGCCTGTTAACCCTACAGGAGCTAGTCGAGCTTGTTGGCAGCATCCACGATGCCCACGGCGGCCTCATCATCGTTAACCTTGCGTGATATCTGGAACGCCTGTGCTATATCAAAGGTGGAATGCCACAAGCAGAAGCCAACATGCTCGCTTTACCAGAGCCGTAGTACCCCTGCCCTTACCTGGCCATCAAATGCGCTAGCCGTCGCCGCGACTGGGCAGCCTTTTCTCCCCTTACTCTCCTTGCAGCACCCATGCTACATCAGGAACATCTCGACTTGGATTCATCATTTAGCACAACTACTACAATGCCACCCTCATATCTGACCAGCGACAGCAACTTCCTCTTCCAATGGTTCACCCCGACTTCTTTCTTTCCTGGGGCCACTTCTAATCAATCCGCTTACATAGCTGTAGAGTCGCCAAAACTGGCGTCAGGAGCATTAACATGGTGTGAAAAGAAAGAAGAGGGCGCAGTATTCTTGCATTTCTCAATCGTGAAGCTGAGTCAATTGGAGACGGATGTGAAAACACAACTTAGAAGCCTTTCCCTGAGATTTGGCAGCACATCTCAGGAGAGCTTAAGCGCTATTCAATACATTTGATTCCGCTCAATGTATCACATATCGCTTGGCTTACATGCCGAATCGCCCTGTTCCTCATTTGAGCCTTAGATGCCATGCCACTGGGTTAAAGCAGTGATATAACTCATTACTACAACGGCACTAGCTCCAAGCCTATGCCAACCTATCAACATTGTGTCAGTGGCTTAACTGAATTCAGGATGACGCCCCTTCGCCCAACGTCTCCGTGCAGCAAAACCCTTCAATTCACCTCATTTCTTTGCTCACACTCCTCTTCTTCCTATTTCCTCCATCCCCAACTATCAACCCTCAACCCCTGAGCCATGGGTTTCCTGTGCAGTCAGTTCTTCACAACACCACCCTATCTCAAGGCAAACTTCAGTGAAAAGATCATCATCCACACGGGTAGCAACGTCGGTCTTGGAAAGGAAGCGGCGCGACACTACGCGCGAATGGGCGCTAGCAGGCGTATTCTTGCAGTGTACAGTGTCGGCAAGGGCCAAGAAGCGAGGCATGCCATTGTGAGTACGATGGGAGATAAGAACGCCAAAGTTTAGAAGCTCGACATGAGCGGCTGTAGCAGCGTAAAGTCGTTTGCAAAGCGCGCTGAAGCCGAGCTGGAGCGTATTGGTATCTCTATTGCTGACGCTGATGTGGTCTCCTCTAAGTTTTGTCAAGCTGATGGGCACGAAGAAGGCGTAGCTTTCAACGTCATCACCACAACGCTGTTAATGGTTGATATGATATGACGCCTAAGATGCTTAATATAGTAGTAGAATATTAGTGCGCGCAGGTGTGTCCGGCATGAAGACGCATAGCAAGTATCTCAATGATTGCATGATCGAGGAATTGAGTCCGCTGGTGACAGATGCGGCTGGTAAGCAGAGGCAGAAGCGCTTTGTGACTGAAATTATCAAAAGGATCAACGGTATTCAGCCTGGTGTCTCAAAGACATCGCGAAGTGTTTCAGGGGTAACATGCGTGAGTAAGGATTCATCATCAGTGCGCATATACTATAGTTCTTCGACCAATATATGGACTAGCAAATTCAATCGGGCTGCATCATTGTATCGGTATAATTTTCGCGAAGAAAACATTATTTTTCGACGATATTACAATGACATAACAGGAATTAGTCATGAAGCTAGACTTCGGTCCGCCTAAAAGTAGTTGCGCCGATCGGTCCGTTCATCCCAACTAATCTTTAGACAATGTATGAGGGGAACTCCGTCCTGATTTTCGACATCTATAGTTCTTTCTTTTCACTCGTGCCTTCTTGGATCAATATGGCTCTAATCGGTCGATGGTTCTGCAAAAAGCAAGCTCGAGCATATGGCAGCCTTAGACAAAGGTCCACTAACATGCTTACCCTTAAATTACCGAGGCACTCAACTATGGGTCAGTTGCTAATAATAGAATTTCTAGGTTCAAAACTATGTAAACGTACGTATGCATGCAATGATTCTTAAGCTTTCTAGCTTCCACTCTGTCCTGTAGCCCTCAGCTTGACATTCTCAGCAACAGAAGATGCAAACAACGTGATGCACTGCTTTTATTAGAAAAAGCTACCAGGGGATTGAATGCGGTCTACGAACGTCGTAGTAATCACTGCCAATCAAACTCGGATATAGCAAGCTTTTGACAGCCATAATCTGACTGTGGCATCTCACCCGTGAACTTTGCGGGGCAAGTCATTTCTCCGCCCGTATTGGCCCCTTACATGTTCACGACCCTTCTATATAAGATCAGATATATGTAGGGCCTTTATGCGAACTTTGGAGTGTCAGAGCATCGCATGTCAGCAACTGGACCAGCCCATCATCATGTGACAAGCCGACAGTCTCACTTGCGAACTCTCAATTACGGTGTGAGATTTTGACGTCTTTTGCTCATTGAGGCAAAGCCAGGTATGAGTAGACCAACATATCTCGAGGTATTGCTGCATAGGATGCATCCAACAATAGCCACAATCTCTATATTCCTACCCATCCTCGTTGCTATACCTCATACAAGCATTGCTTCAGCGATGTCTACCTATATCAATGCTACCTGTGAAATCTCTACCCTTTTTTCTTTCTTACTAGTAAGCTGCACTGATGCTTTTCTTTCTTACTAGTAAGCTGCACTGATGCTTTTCTTTCACTGCAGATGATTCTCGGAGTTTAGATAACTACTGTGTAAGGCCGCAAACAAGGCGTTGATACTAACTACAAGGATCGAAATATTCAAAGTTAAGATGTCTATTCACGAGCGCTAACTACCTGCAAGTATTGAGGCCTCTTCCAGGGCGCTATACCCAAAGATGACTGTATTACATGATAACCAGAATCGTCAGCACACACACATCGGGCATTCATTTCGGACGTATTATAACATCTCAAGACACACACCCCAGCAAGTCGGATGCATGACAAAACTTTGGTCTTCATATTTAACTTGAACGTTGCGCTGGAAGAAAAAAACACAACACATCTCTATTCAACTCTCCAGTCCTTCGTTTTATCCAAGTCGCCTCACCGATATCCCACTATCATTGAAAATGCATCACAGCATGTTGACCCTCGTTCTCTCCGGCTTCATTGCACTTGCTCAAGCTGCTCCTGCCCAAAAAGTTGCATCACCCAATGGCGCGGCGAATATACCCGCCAACCTGTTGCGCGACCTCCATACCGCTAAAGAATTCGCCAACCACGTATCTGGCCCTCAAAACTTTCTCTCTAACTGGACTGCCGAGGGCTCTAATTTGTGTAATTGGAATGGCTTTTATTGCGATATCGTGCCCGATACCAATGCCACGGGCCTCGCTTCCATTGATTTCAATCAGTTCGGCCTGACCGGCAACCTGAAACTGACCGGATTTATCGACAAGCTTCCTGACCTGGCTCTTCTCCACATCAATGGCAACAGTTTCAGCGGCGATGTCCCTGATTTTAGCGGGCTGCGATATCTCTACGAGATTGACTTGAGCGACAATAAATTCTCTGGACCTTTCCCCCAGAGTGTACTGAAGATCAACCAACTAACGTTCCTCGATCTCCGATTCAACCAGTTCTACGGCCCCATCCCCGACAATGTCTTCACCGCCTACCCTTCCCTGGAAGCCCTCTTCTTGAACGATAACAAGTTCTCAGGCCGAATTCCCAACACTATTGGCTCTTTCGCAGGCGAATACCTTGTTCTTGCCAACAACAACCTCTCGGGTTCCATCCGTGATTCCTTGGCCTCTGCGAATCCACTCAAGGAATTCATAGCTTCTGGAAACCAGTTGTCCGGATCCATCCCTGGTGCCATCGGTCGCCTCCCCAACCTTCATCTCTTCGATGTCTCCAACAACAAGCTGACTGGCACTGTTCCCGAGGAGCTCTGCGCCAGCAAGTCCCTCACAAGTATCGTGCTGACTGGTAACAAACTTTCCAAAAACCTTGGTCCCATCTGTCAGGCGTCCAAGGCCAAGGGCATTTTGCAGATTTAGTAGTCCTGGCGCAAAGCGAATAAGATGCCAACTCTAGATGGTACCCGCCCCATCACCAGCAATAATATATCCTTCAATTCTCTTGCTTGAAAAAGCATGTCCTAAAAGATGCGCCGGGGTGTGGGTCTATTTAATCTTCTCTCGAAAATCTCCACCCACCTCCGCTATCGACGCTGGACATTATTATCTCCTTTTGACAAATGGCGTATGTAGCCACTCGCAATGTACCTAATACAGTCATAGTCATTATTATATAGGCCAGATATAAGTAATAAATTGGCTATTATCAAGATCCTCCAACTGAAACTAATGATATTAATCACGTGCAAACGTTACTGAGTTAACTGGAGTATCTCTGATAGTTTGCTATGGCTAGAACCCCCGAATATGCTCTGAGCGCGCCCATTAACAAGAAACAACCTACGTATCAATCTCTTTAAGCGCACAAGGCGATGGCAACGGTTGATAAGGTGCGTGGTATACTGGAGTCTATCCATCAAAAGAACAATGTATAACCACGCCATTAAAGCAGGAGTATAAGTATCAAGGGAAAATGCCACCTCCTAGTACCCAGATACGAAGTTAGTGGCAAGATCTAGCTAGATGTGCGCGGTATCCAAATGCAACGTGTATCTAAGAAGCTCGCAGGGAAGAAACTTGGCCCTTACAGGATACATCAGAAGGTCTCGCCCTATACGTACCATCTCAAACTTTCTCTCTACCTAGTACATGCCGTCGCCCAGACCTGTTGTGGTTAACAGTAGAGAATATTACTTTACTAACGGCATCGAAATCTTCTGCTATAACTAGCGTTGTAGGCAGTGCGAACAACGCGTCAAGTACATTGGCTGCAATAGGATGACCAGGAAGCCCGCTGTAAACGTAGCGGACAACACTGACTCCAACAGATACATGTTGTGCCGATCTGCAAACCACCCCATGTCTTCACCTTCTCCACATCAATAGCAGATGGTGTTAAAGGATCGTGAGTTGTACTAGAGTGATTCAAAAGAGCCAAAGAAAAACCGAATGCAATTCTTCTACAATACAAGAAACCCTACTATTATCAAAGAGCGCAGCCGATGATACTTCCTCCAGGGTTATGCGTAACCCTGTTACTGGTGCAACAACTCTTCCGTGCTTAAGCCGCCGCCCTCTTCTTGAACAGAAGCTGTCCCGCGGGATAAGGAATTGATATCCTACCCATCTCAATCTGAGGATGCCTTTCCGTCTGGCCATTCGGCATCTTGATATCGTAGTCAAGCAAGAAACGCGCCATGATCATCTTAATCTCAAGCGCAGCAAAGAAGCGACCAGGGCAGGCGTGTCTACCGTGACCGAAAGTCAGGTTTTCCTCGTTGGTGGTGATGAATTGGTTGCGGGCGATGTCTGCGGCCTTGCCGGTTGAGCGCGCCTTGTAGAAGCGGAAGCCGTCGAAGACTTCGGGATCAGGGTAGAATTTGTCGTCGTGGTAGATGGCTTGCGAGGGGACTTCAATCATGACGCCGGGGGGAATGTATTGGCCGTTGGAGAGAGTTACGCCCTTGAGCACGCGACGGAGCATACCAGCTGTGGGGAGAGAAAAAGGTTAGTGATTTTCCTCTTTTGGTGCGGAACAAATGGAAGGTATGGGTTCTAAGAGCTTTAGATTTTCTTCCAAACTTACTGAGACTAGGACCGTGGAACCGGAGGACCTCCTTCATGAAGCTGTCGAGCTTTTCCATCTTTTGGACTGCACGGTAAGTGACGCCACCTTCTTCGGCGATAGCTTGACGGATCTCTTCCTGGAGAGGCTTGATGTATTCTGGCTTGGAGACGAGGGTGAACATGGTGTTGGTGACGGTGGTACTGGTAGTATGGATAGCGGCAAAAATCAAGGTAAGTTGGCCACCGACAATCTCGTCGATAGAGATCTTTCCAATACTCCTGTTGATGATCCATTGAAGTACGTCTTCTGGCTCCTTCCACTCGGGGTCTTTGGCTTTGGCTGCAATTCGCTGCTCGATGATGGGGCGTAGGACATTCTTAGCTTGCTGCTCACGTTTACGGAGGGTAAGAACCTCTGGGGTGCGTGGGGCCAGGAAGGGCTTCAACCATGGGTTGATCTTCTTGACAGCGGTGACGACATTGAACAAATCCACGGGGTACATGCAGGCAGCATCGAGGTAGTCAGGATGGCTGGAGATTTCGGGACCGACGAAGACGCTACCAGAGACCTTAGCAATAATAGGGACCAATTTCTCGTTGATGTTAACTTCAGTCCAGTCGTCACAGGGAGGCAGAAAGATTTGGAAGGCTAGTTTGACATCATCGGCAATGGATGTGTGCAACCGAGCTATCATACATGTTAGCAAGATCAACTGGTACGCGGGTTTCTTTTGTTTGGAGGCCGTACGTAGTGAGGAAGTGAGCTTTGTCTTGACGGTGTCAGTAACGGTATGACTCTCAGCGACTAGTTTTGTGTATCGGATCTCCATCTCCTATCACAAAAGGTTAGTGTGATAGTTGCAATGAAGGACATGCTGGCTACGTGCATCGGTAATTCCCTTTGAGAAGCTAAGGACATCGTCGCCCAAGTTTCGGAGCTCTGGGAGGAAGCGCATAGGGACAATGACGTTTTCATTGCCTGGATATGTCAGTGGTGGATTGAGAATATGCTTGCATAAGGGGGGTCGACGCACCCTGATCATTGACGAGTGTGTAGGCTTGGTCTTTGTACTGATTGTATCGTGAGTAAGCAAACTTTGTTTACGTGCAGAAGAAATCCTACTTGTTTGTATCCTTCCTTGTAGATTTTACCCGCAGTGGTCGCGTAGGCCGCTCCTGCGGTAACCTTGGGCAACTTGCTCATGTAGTACCTGTGCTGTAGTTTGGGGACAAAAATCCATGCCGCAAGGACTACAGCTGCTATTCCCGTTGTCTGTAGCACACGCACGAGCTGTGCGGTGAGTTCTGCGTCCATGGTTGCTGTCATATACCAAAGGCAACGAAGACAACTGAAGGTGAAGTGAAATGGAATTATAAGTGAATTCAGTGGATGAAGAAAGACTAGATATATGAAGCAACGCACCGCAGTCGCTAGGCTTTATCATCGAGCCCTTACGCTATTCGCGCAGACGTAGGATTTACCATGTTTGAGGACGAGATACGCTAGGCGGACGGGTTACGGCACTCACCTGGGTGTAGGCATGTGGGTCAGCTTTAGGCCCACGGCGCGGTGTCATAGGCTACGAAGTCGTCGTGGTAGCGTTCAGGAACTAAGATCAGTTAACCGTGACACTCATTCAGGTAATACCCCTTGAGGAAATACCCCTTAAGGGCAGATTCACGCCGCCAGACTTTCTGTGGCTAGCCAATGCGCTGCCTAGTCCGATTTCATTTGTGTTTTGCCAGGGTAGGGTTGTCGTGCTAAGGGTTCAATGGGTAAAACAGACGCTACCGTAACAGCAGGGGTGTTTGACACATCAGAATGCTTACTTCAACTCTCAACAGCCTCCACAGTAGGAATCAATAGATTTTTGCTGTAAGTTTACAAAACTGGGTACAAGATGGAGCTTCTTGGAGCGAACGGGCTGGGTGGATGTTTCGAGCATAGAAAATTGACTTCTATAACATCAACTACTGTGATATTGGCTCTTGCATGTTTCTTCATGGGCAAAAGCAGGGCGGTATCACGGCTGTCCCGGCTCCATCCCTATTGTCACGCTAGCAAAGCTCTCGGTAATCCGGTGAAGTCGGCAATCAAATCGCACCATACCGATGGTATGAAGTCAGCGTAAACCCTTTATTCCCACCACGATCCTGCCACATTCAACATCTGCCTTGTTCCAGTGACGAGAAAGGTGAGCTATTTATTTTGTCTTATCTAATTCTTGTTTGAACAATGTTGCAGTGGTGCTGATATTTCGGACCAAAGCTGGCGCGATTTGGTGGGCTAAACTGCTTTAGGCTGGGTTTTCCGGTTTCGCCGATTGGCCGGAATCGAAGATAAGGTCTGTGAGCACTAACAGGACCATCAATGGCAGAATCGGGCGACACATGCACAAAGGCTACCGGTTATCCCATCGTCATATTCCAAGCAGGTTGAGAAATCAAAGATTTAAGCGAGATATGCGGTTCATGTTTGGTGGCTGACGGTATGGGCCGCGAATGGCTGACATGGTCTAACCGCATTCATTAATCACCGAGCGGGGTTTAATCACCGAGCGAAGTCGCTTCCAGCTGCCGCCTCGGCACGCCTTCACTCCGCTACATCCTTGGGTAAACCACCAGAGCCATGTCCGTCTAATGACCCTGCAGCATTCTGCAGCAAGTGTACGTACCTAGGTTATGACTCCACCCACGGCACAGAGAACCCTTTCACAAATCATTGCCCACCTTGGCGGACAGGGGTAGTATCATCCCACAACTCACATTCGGAAGCTTCTCCGAGCTAATGTGATTATTTTGTGCGACCACGCTGTGCTTGGCTTTTGATACTTTACCATGATGCTCTATGAAATCACTTCTAGTGCTCTCATTGTTACCTCAAAAGCTATTTCTGACTTGGATGATAACGTCATCTGCCTCACTGAGGTCTAGAAGTAGTGTGCGATTAACGATATGTCCTCTCTGCGCTCCGCCAGGAGTGATAGAGGGTGTTGAGTGGTATAGTATCGCGGATTGTGAGGAAAGCAGGCTACGGGAATACCAAGTTGACGAAGAACCCTGGGTTGGCGAAGAAGATGACGAAAGACCGCCTTACATATTGTCTAGAACACTACAACTGGACAATGGAAGACTGGAAGAACGTGATCCAGTCCAACACGACGTCTATTTTCCTGAATAATAGATGCGGGGTCTATCGCATTTGGATACAGATCGATAAGTTGTTGATCCGCAGCTGGATTAATAAGAGTCAAAGGGCTACAGCCGTTTGGTTGTGAGCCTGTTCGACATGAAAAACACCAAAAAAAACGAACGAGCCTGGCGCATAGCCCAGCCCGCCCTACTACCATTCGCAGCTAGTACTACGTAGCTCACCGGCCCTACTAAAGCGCTACAAGAAAATCCGACTGCACCAGCGATAACGTGTCAATAGTCATAATGCCTGTCTATGCTGTCAAATGAATCGGATTCTCGCTAATCATGAATTTCATTTATATATTTATTAATGGTATTGCCTTCTCCTAATTTCAAGGTTGGTTGAGCATTATCCCGCGGCTTCATGGCCACATGACACCATCACCCATAATCTTAGCCTTGCGCATATCGGTGCGTACATCGAGTGGGTAGTCCTTTGGCGCAAGTTCTCTCCTCCACTGCTTCATTCTCTTGCTCAAAGCCTCTTCTCTACCGCTCAACTCGCGTTTCGTCAGGCTGTTTGTTGGGTATGCGCCAAAGTCACCAGCGATGCAGTGGCTTTTTCCTCCCCAGGCAGTATCCGCGGTTGCCTTCCAGATAGCGGTGATATCGACAGTCATTTGCTTGGTGTACAAGATGCGGCAATCAGCTGGCTCGTAGATGAATTGCAGTGGGGTTTCAGTCTCGTCGCCATCACGAATACCGTCGCGGAAATTGATATTGATTGACGAACCAATAGCGAGGCGATCAAAGGGAACAGAAGACCAATATTGATTTAGCTCGGTCTTATTGAGCTGAGCTACCTCGTCGGCCGAAGAGGTCGTGTTGAGAACCGCATATTGAGCAAGCGCCTGGATATAGGTCCAAGGAAGGTTGTTGGTACCCTTGACACCACCGACTGCTTGGGTGATACCCTCACGAGGGCGACCGCCAAGGGAGATGTACTTGACGCCAGCACGTTGGCGCATAAGCTCGGAGAAGATGGTACACGTAGATGCGCAGTACCCGTCAGTTATGACAACGATGTCCTCAACAGCGAATGGCTGTTCAGTATAGTTGGATAGAGGGCCATGGCCGTGAACATAAATGCCACCTGAGTTCTGAGTGATCAGCGGATCATTCAGGTTCCAGCGGAAGAGGTTTGTAAAGTTGTCGCCCTTGACATGAAGGGGACCAAACTTTTCTGACCAACTGTTGAAGGGTTTTTCATCAAGGTTCAGGTCAGTGCGATAATTGAAGGTGGAAGAGATGATATCGCCCTGAAGGTTGTACAGTGTTTCATTTTGTTCCGGAGTGACTGGCTCTCTTGTCACACCTTCAGAAGCTTTTGAGAATTGTTGGCCGATGATATCTGTTGATTCAAAAGCACGGAACCGATCAGCTGCTGCGTGGTCGATGTCATTAGGGAAGAGGAGTGAGTAGAGGTCATATCCCAGTAGGATGGTACCGCCACCATTTGCCTGAACATCAACGATGAGCTTTTTCTTTCCGGCAGCCTTGGCCGCAGAGAGAAATTTTACAGCAGTGGCTTGGAATTCTTCCTGAGCAGCGATGCCCACAAATGAAGGAACCGACAGAACAGCCACATCAGAGTACTCGTCCTCCAGGAAGTATCCACCAATCAAGTTGTGACTTTCACGAATAACTGGAGGTGGGAAGCCAGGAGCAGGGATGGTTGGTGTGGCGGATGCAGAGGCGGTTGCCGAGGGGGTTGGTGCAGTAGAGTTGGAAGGAGCGGGATCTTCAGTCTCGGTAGGTTGGTTGCCGGTAAACCAAAGCTTGTAGAGGCTCTCGCCATCAGTGATGCCATCGAATGGGATCAATACCTTGGCAAAGTTTTCGTAGACTTGACTCGTGCCATTGGCGAAATCAAGCGTGGTGGTAGCCCCAGGATAGACCTACCATGAGTCAGCAGCTAGCTCATAGAAGCTTTACATGTATATATCTACATACCCAGCGACCTCTCCCCGACCCAGCAAAAGTACCCATGCCAGGTCCAGTGGGGCCAAGTGATACAGTAGCAAGTTCGTAGAAGACATTGTTGTAAAGAGCATCCCGGTCTTGAAGAGAGCCATACTGTGCCCAGTTTTCGAGGTATTCCTGGGCATTCTGACCATTAATCTTTGTGATGGGAGACGCCTTGAAGGTTGCGTTGCCAAAAGACTCAGCCAAGACATCGGCGTAGACGTAGGCTTTTGGCAATTCCTTGCCATCTGACGAGGCTGAAACAAGAGGAACTGGGCGTGCAAAATTGAAGACGGTTCCTAGGATGTCGGGTACGTAGACAAAATGGCCGTCGTGTGTGGTTTGAAGAAGACGATAGAGCTCGAAGCCGAACTGCGACATGGGTAAACCCTTTAATCTCAAATTGTGTGCCAAAGACATACCTCATATTCGTTGTCATAGCTACTCTTGACTACCTTTTCTCTTATCTTGTCAAGCCCACCCCAGATGTCGACACCGGGTTGGACTTTTTCGGCATATTCTTTAGGAGGATCCTTGAGCCAGACAGTGTTGCTCTGCCATCGGAAGTAGGGCACCACACCATCGACAAGTGCAAGTGCAGCAGACTGGTTGAATGGAACGGAAGTAAGACAGTCGTAGGCCAACTGTGCAGGGACGGTGGGCACAGCAGCTGTTTGAGTTGCAGCCGAGCTGGCTACTTGGGCACACGGGCTCGTTGCATTGTATGGACGCGCACGTAGAGGCGATGCGAGAGCACCCGAAGCGAGGGACAGAGCCGCAATGCTCTTGGAGATGGGTGCCATTGCTACGACTTGACGCGACCCGAAGTAGAGCAATTTTGAACTTGAGCTACATGGAGAATGTAGGGCAGTAGTGTGCATTTATATCCACTCGGTGCGCTAGCTGCACTATACGGGACGAGGAAATGGCGCCATTTGTTGATGGAATAGACATTGAGATAGCAGCCGGTGCTTGGTAGAGGCGACTCGATATTCTGCGAACGATGAGGCAATATGATGGATAGCAACGAATGGCAAAGCTCACGGCGCATTAGTGCGTCGCTCAATCGGGAAGGCGACATGTGCGGATTTGACAATGCCTGCTTAGATGTCTTGTTAGCGTGATGAGCAGAGCTGCCAAAGTAGGCAAAGATCA